CCAAAAAAAATTGCACCGCAATTCAAACCCCGCGCTTACGCAGATTGGCGAGCTTTTCACATTGCATTTTTTGGTATAATTTGTTCTTTGATACAACCTATGAAGTAGTCGCAAACTGAAATGTAAAAGATGCAAAACTTAGTCACTTAATCCATCTGATATATTAGTAAAACGGTGCTACAAAAAAATAGAGCAACTTTTTTTCTGTCACCACATGAGAAAAGAAAATTTATCCAGGCATTCTATTAAGGAAATAAGATACTGACGTCATTACTTTTGGTATGCCCTAAGTATTTATCGTTATTTTCTAAAGCAAGATCTTTATTAATAAATGATCATTATAGCTAAATCATCAATAAGTCTTGGCTATTATGGGATCTCAACATATACTCATTAACGGAGCTGGTCCAGCCGGCCTATCTCTGGCAATTGCACTCGCCAAACGCAATATCCGATCCACTCTCTTTGAAATTCGATTGGAACCAACAACAATGGGGGGCGCAATTGCATTAGCGCCCAATGCATTACGTGTGCTCGATCAGACCATCGGGATTTATGATCAGATTCGTCATTTGGGGTTCGAATACGAATACATAGAACTCTACTCGGAAGACGGTTGGAGGCTTGGAGGGTTGGTGAATGGTGATCGACAAGCATATGGTTATCCTGCTTTACGAATCTATCGATCAACCATTATGGAAGCGCTCCTAAAATGTGTTAACGACTATTCCACTTTGATCATCATACATTGGAATAGTTCGATCAACAAGATTGCAGAGTCTGATACAGGTGTTGAAGTCACATTACTCGATGGAAGTACAGTGAACGGAGACATTCTCGTGGGAGCTGATGGAATTCACTCGAAAATACGAGAGTATGTCTTACGTGATCGGGCGCCCACGCCAATATACGGCGGTCGATATGGTATCGGTGGCCATGTGGATCGGGATGAAATCGACTGGAAACACTTCACACTTCCAGCGATTCTGTTTTCCCATCGGGGAGCCGTGCTTTTGTTTCCCATTACCCCAGATGGGAACAAGATTGCATGGGCTATTCAGATTACGGTGCCCGAAAAAACTCGAGAAGGTTGGTTGGAATATTTAAATTCAGGAGCGGCACTGGAAGACATACGCAATCAATTTGCTGACGCAGGACAAGTAAGTCTCTTAACTTTGGACTATTTTCATTAATTTCTAATACTTCTTAGCCCGTTCAAGACATTCTTGCCAAAACAAAGGTGGAAACAATGCGCGGATGGGCAGCCTACATGATTCCAGACCTTCCAACCTGGCACACTAACCGCATACTATTAATTGGCGACGCAGCTCACTGCATCCCTCCTTATAGCGGACAAGGTATCGCCCAGGCATTCGAAGACGCTGGATACCTTGCTCGACTACTAGATGACCAAACAACTCTCGTTTCGGGCTACCCAACTGCATTCGCACACTTTGAGAAGGTACGCAAGAAAAGATTTGCGCGTGTACGTGAACTCACTGAACAGTCCGGCAAAACGCGACAGGCTTCAACCAAGTGGCAATGGTTTATAAAGAAGTATCTCATGTGGTTTTACTTTTACCGAAATGAAGGAGGATACTTTCGTGATGGACGCATTTATGAGTACGATATCAATAAAGAACCGCTTCTTTCGATTGATCAATCTACAACAGACTAATGTACATCTTAAATATAAATATATCAGCTAATCTTAGTGGTAAGTTTTCAGCACATGATCGTATTGTCGAATCAGTAAGAACTAAAAATAATGTGCTTCAGTAAACAATAAATAAAACAAATTAAATGAAAAAAGCTCTCATTCGATATCCGCACTACACGGTCACATTAATAGAGGTCTAGCAATTAAAAAGATTGAGATTGATTCTCATTCATTCTATAAAGTAAACGAATTTTTGTGGAATTCTTAATAGCTAAGGAAATAAAATTTCTTCCACTTCATGTACTGAGGAACATATCGGCGCGTACATTTGCTAGATAAGTAGCACACAGGCTAACGCCATACCATAACATTTTTTCATGGCGATAGACACCGTGTACTGCTTCAAAAATTTTCATTTCCTTAGTGAGATGTTCCACAAAAAACCGTTTACTTAAAAGATAATAATTGAAAATGTCCTTATAAACAGCCGGGAAATGTCTTAGTTCATTTCGTCGAACGGGCGTAAGCAATAGATCACCATTGACAAAGCTTTTATCGGCTAATAATCTTGTATGTGGTGGTATATTACGCACCCCAGCCGTCGCCAACATCCGACTATGATGAACGCTGCCCAGATAACCGGACTTAAAAAATATTAATTTTTTTGTTGACGACACAATATATATCGATCCCAGGCAGTGTCGACGATTTTTGCCCAGGTAATACAGACGTTGATTGTGACCTATAGGCGATAATTGTTATAAAACGAGTCTTACTTAATTAATCCTAATCAGGCTGTTAGGCACACTCCTGAAGGACCCCAACGTTGTCAGTGGTTTAAGTTGAAATTTCCAGAAAATCTAACTTCTGTTCATACCTAATTGTGGCAGGAATGTCAGGTTTGTATCTGAAATCCAGACTGAGGTTTTCCAACAGTATTTGCAACAGTATCTTATTACTCTTAACAGGTAGTTCTTATTCGAAAGTCCTAAGTAAATAAGAAAGAATTCGATTTAGATAAATATGGAGCCTTTTTTCTCGATATAAACTTACACATACTTGGTCTATTAATAGCATGACGAGTTCCATCAACAGAACCAACATATCGCCCAAGTACTGTGTGAAATACGACTAATTCTGGTTATTTTTTTTAAAATTTTTTTTATAAAATAATCACAGACTATTTTAGTACACAAAACACGTTTATTTTTACTCCTAGCTAATTCTGTCGGTATACAAATATGTGCTTGTGCCCTTATTTTTTCAATTTGTTAATAAATTCGAAATTCTTCTGAAAGAAAACGTGAAGAAACCGTTGAATTATATATAAGCAAAAAAAGAATTAAGCTGACTTGCTTAAAATACACTCTTTTTGCTTAAACGTTAAATTTCAACCGTCAAAATGACAATACACCAAAGAGCACCGTATAGACGAATATCGGATTTAGAAATCGAAGTTATTACTGGTCTTTACAATCAAGGTATTAAACATTCCAAAAATATTGTTCAAAAACTGATTACAGTGAATTACGGAGAGATAACTGACCATTATGTTGCGTCAACAGCCACCAGCCGAGGCAGAAGAGTAAATGATGTTTTGGAAAAAGCTGGAAAAAAGTATACAATACATAAATAGACTTCTGGACAGTTGCATAACTTTTCTTTTGTATGTAAAGGGTCAGTGCAGCACGTTTATCGGATCCACAATGTTTAATACAGCAACGTGGTGATGCACTTGATTGTGTGTTGCTTCATCGAATAAGCAGTGATCCATTGCCAAATCCAACACCACCGTTAGCACAGTCTACCACGGTATATATAATAATATATTCTGCTGATGTCACAAAAGACTCTGCCTTGAAGTACTCTTATGTATCAGTTCAGAAACAACAATACCGAAAAAACTTTCTCGAAAATTTTGCAGAAATACTTTGCTTAAAAAGACTACGCATTGAAAAAAATTTGCTGATATGATAATAAGTAAACAAAAAATCCTGTCTTTCTTTTAAGAATTTCGAATCGGTCGATGACGATTGTTTACTATCAATACCATCTTTTATGTCGAATTTTCGTACATCATCAACTGCCCTATCATCGCCGTTACCCTCGTTACAATAAACAGATGATTTAACAGGCGATGAACCTCCACCATCATTACCATTTAAATACGAAGATTTGGAACCAACATCAGTACATGCACAATACGATGATATAATTGTTGAAACATTGAAAGTAATAACAACATTGCCATTAAGAACAAAGTATGGGATTGTTTTTCGTTGATTGCTACATCGTTAAGTTCAGGAAAGGTATTGACACGAACACATTATCAGCAGGAATAAAACTTGCACCATTACCGAAAACGAAATTTTCACCACCAACAACCGCTCCATCATTATCTCTCGAACGAGTTGAACAAAGTACAATAATACGACCACGAACAAATTTGAATCATTCTCAAACAACACGTATTCCAAAAAAAGGTCCTCAAAAACGTACAATAGAAATAACCGATATTGATGACAAATATGAAATTGAAAATGTATCTCCTCCCTCCAAAAAACGCCGATTGCCTCCATCGCTTCGTGTGAATTCTCTTATTTCTCGTATTGAAGATGTTCTCAAGCCGTTCGAATCATACGCCGAACAAAATATAATTCCATTCATAGACATAGCCGATGAGGACGATACAAATAATAACGAACGAAATTTAACGTTTTCGTTTTTTTGCTTAGGACTGACCGTGGAGTAACGCCATATTAAATCAGTCCACGCATTAACTTTCAAAAATCAACTGTAAATAATCCATTTCGTTTGCAATCACAATGCTCGAAGATCTGGATTTGGAAAACATCAACAAGATATAATCTCTCTGCATCTAACGGAAAGGTATTATAGAAGTTTCCCTATCGATGTATTATGATGAAATCCGTTCTCTTGAGATTAACACTTTCAATTCCGACGTTTTCTTGTGTTCTTCACAAGCATGAAAAAAAAGAAAAAATCTCTCTCTTCTGCGTTCTATCGTTACAATCAGCTGTGTTTGAAATCTAACGTCATTGCTGCTAGATAAAATAACAGATAAGAACTTGCTGCTGAAGAAGGTCCACGTGTGTTGGGAAGACTGAATTTGAACTGGTTAGTGCCTTGAAAAGAAAATAAGTAATTGTAAAACAGAAAAGAGAGAGAAAATGATTTTCTAGTGAGGAGTCAACATATCATACAACAAGGAAGACTTTCTCGAAGAAGATGATGAAACAGACAAGTATATGAAAGCTCTCGATGATTCCGACCCTGACGATATTGAAGATAGTTTGTAATGTTGAGAGCGAAGAGTATAGGTGATAAATAGGATTTTTTGGTATCACTCTCCCTTCAGTCAAGGAAACTATGTAATATCAAAATCTTCCTCTAGAAAATGACAGAAAAATATCATCAATTTCCTGAGAGAGGTCGAAACTTTTGAAAACCGAATTGGCTGCTAACTTCACTCACGTCTATGTTTTAGTGCAAAAAATCAAGAGGGAAGATGATGATTTGGAACAACCAGCACCTCGTCAGCCTGAAATTTGGTGATAGTGTTCAGGGAATTGGAGAATAAGATATAAACTGAGGTTATGACCGGGAAGGGGAGTAAGAATTTTTTGATTCGATTAGTTCGAACTAGATTGATTTTCGAATTGAATTAATGCAGATTTTGATCAATGAAACTTTGTTAGGGAAAAATTATTTTCTAAAATCAAATGTGTTCAATTTGGAATCATTTTCTAGATAATCGGAAATATGACTTCCAAACCGTTGGACTCAGTATTCAAGCACCGGAAAAGATCAATGCTCCTGTGAAAGAATTTGGACAACGATGGTCCAGAAAGTCTATCATTCGAACAAATATCTCCCCGTTACTGATGTGGAAACAGAAGATCGAGCACCAAATCATCTTTATCGGAAAATGAGGCCGGAAAAGTTAGATCTTATCTGTGAGGATGTCTATTTGGATAAAGAGAAGGGTGAAGCTCGATTTGTTATTCAAGATCAAAATATAGTTCATATTAGCAAATTTTACAAGGATCCCAATAAACAACATTTGAAATACTGGGCAGAAAATAAACAAGGGAAACGAATTTCGTAGAATGTTCCCAAAGATTGGATTTTCAGAGCAATGAAATTAATAAAAGACAATATTGAGCAGGAACTGTCAGAACTATACCTCTGTTCAATTTCTCAGTGTTTTACTTAGTGACATTTTTCATTTGAAATAAAATCCTTTTAGAAAAAGTCACACACGTCTAAAATTTCTTCGTACAGAAATTTCTCTCGTTTAATTCTGATCTTTATCGAGAACAAATAGCAAGTAAAAAAGCTTAGAACATCACTCTACACGACATTTTCTTGTATCTCTAAGGAAAGACGAAAAAATCTCATTCAATTGGCAATCAATATTACACATTCGGCAGATTTATTAGTCGATATTCTTCTTTTGATAGAATAATCGATATAGAGTATTGCAATTTGCTCCTATTATCCTTGACATCAGTATTCAAACGGGGATCATTTTTATTTCTTCATATTAATCAAAGTATAGAACATCTTTCATATTCAACGAAAAAAATCCTGCCTCTCTTTCAATTTCTGCACTCATTCATTTCTTAAATGAAATAATTGAATAGACGATGGAATTAATCTATTAGCATATCGAAATCAAATATTTTATATAAATACATCGAAATAACATGAGCTTACCCGCGTTTGAAAGAAATAAGAGCTCTGCAAGATATCCCAACATATTCGAAGAGAGATTACTCCACTGGAAATTGATATATTTCAAAGAGGTAATTATCAGATCAATAAGATATAAAGATGTCGATATATTGGAACAAATACACAAATAAAGAATCTTGGAAATTGAATGAGTGTGATCGCTGAATAGGAAAGTTCCTTCGCTGACTCTGATATCTTACACTGATTGACAAAATGCTACTAATAAATTCCTCTTTGAACCATTCTAAATTTAAGCTAATTAATATGAGTAATTTATCAAATCGATATTGATTATCAGATGGAGAAGATTATCTATGCTGCTTTTAGAACATAGAGACAGACGTCAATTATTGATTTCTTCCATTGAAATAAGAGAACCTCTAATGGGTAAATATCAAAACATAAATAGAATTTGAGCAGGCAAAGAAAACAAAGGAAGAGAATCGAGAGCAATCAGCACAAAATAAAAGAATCTTTTTCATTTCAATACAACTAAAAGATTATTTGAACTTATACGTCGAAAGTAATGATTATCGATACATATATCTATGCAAAGAGACGTTCGCGCTATTTTGGAGAAAGATAAATATATTCGAGTTATTGAAGACATTCTCAAATATATAATCTGTTTTTTATTCATCTTTCTAAGGCTAGAAAAGGATGATCGGTGTTGTGCTGTTCGTGCTGGGAACAATCTTAACCCTCATGGTTTTCACAGTGGGTCGAAAAACAGAAGAGGACGGTTAAGTAAATTCTTTTCTCGAAGTCTGAATAGTTTCTCCTGAAGTTGATCACAAAACCGTAAACATTTGCATAATTTTTAGCACTGTCATTCTGTCTTTTCGAATGACATCCAGATAGAACATATCTGACCTTGCTCAGTTCAAGATATCCTACAGAGACGAAAGTTTGATGCTTTTCGTGATCAATCGCATCGAAAAACATCAAACATTTCAGTTCGATCAGTTTTTTTACTAAGGAAAACTCTAAAAATTAGACAGCTTTTTAGAAACGGCTTTGGCAGAGTTATACCTCAAAAATGACTAAGTTGTGATTATATGTGCACCATGGCCCTGATCGGACTATTCTAGCAAATAGAATCTTATCAAAATACTCTTCAAACAGGTTCCTACTCTTCAGAGCTTCTAGTAAAAGACTCATAGAAGTCGACAGTTCGATCTTTTTTAATGTAGTTTGCAGAAAAAGCTGTCAAACTCTTCTCCCTACTATATGCATATCAAACTGGACATAATCTAAGGAACGTGAACTAACTACTATAGGAGAATTCATTTTTTATTATCATACACAGGTAGTGCTACGACAATGGTGATGATAAGGACCACAATGGCGACAACAAGGCCTATCACCACAACTGTATCTATGGCGACGACAAGAACCACGACAGCGACAACATCCACGGCAACGATAAGGGCGAGCATGGTAACGACGAGGATTAGCATAACAACGACTAAAATGACTACTACAACTACAGTTCCAACATGCATTGATCTTTCACCAGCTGCTACAACTCGGTGGGGGTAATAGGAAAGATTGTTGACTGTTCTGTTTTCTTCTTCTTTTTCATTAGGAGGTACGAACTTTACATTTCATGGTGCTGAAGGTGCAAACGTTGCAGTTCAATGTGCTTTGAACTTAAAAATTTCAGTTAAAGTCGCATTCTGTGGCACTAATAATGCTGTGATCAAATCTAGTTGTCTGAATATGACTGTGACAGAGATTGTTTCACGTCGATGTGGTCAGACTTCAACGACGTGTTCATTTTCGGCTGACAATGATTCAGCGATCCATGTAATATGTTTAAGAAAGTATTGTGGATGTATTATACTTGCATATGATTAGTTCGGAAGAATATTATTATACTGGAAACTACAGACATATTTTCTTACTCTTCAACATATTCTTGCTACGGCTTTCCTTCATTTTTCTTTGGCCATTTCTTTAGAATATAGACTTTAAATAGAATTTCATCACAAAAAAGACAATCAATTGTAAAATCAAAGTATACAGAGAATCATTCACTAAGTTTGCATTAACTTACTTTAAGTAGATAATGGCTGTTGGAATTCCATCAATACCCAACGAGGGAACCGCCCGCAGCGATTCACCGCTTAACTACTCCAACACCGATATTTCCAGTACGTGTTGATGTGACTAGAACACATGTGCAGGGGCGCCCGATAAGGCGAGGGAGGATTCCTCCCCTGCTTTTCGAAAAAATTTGCTCCGAAATTAGGATTTTCTTACTCCGAAAATTAGCCCTTTGACTTACGAGACTATCCTCCGGAGTCCACTTACTTGTATTTTCAGAGTAAGACAATTATTCTCATTTTTAGAGTATAAAAGGCTTACTCTCAGTTTCGAAGTAAGGCGCTTATTCCCATTTTCAGAGTAAGACGTCTACTCTCAATTTTGGAGTA